ACCTACTTTAAATGTAAAGACACATGTAGATTAAAAGTAAATAGATGGAGAAAATGATAACAAAAGAAAGAGTAATCAAAAGAAAACAGGAATAGCTATATGAATCTCAGAGCAAGGAAAGTTAACAGGAATTTTAAAAAATCATTTCGTAATGATAAAGGGATCCATTCTCCAAGAAGACATGCAACTTTTAATGTGTATGTACCTAACAACAGAGCCTTAAAGTACATGAGGCAGAAATTGATAGAACTGCAAGGAGAAATAGATGAATCTACTATCATAGTTGGAGACTTCAACATTCCTCTTACAGAAATGGACTGATCCAGCAGGCAGAAAATCAGTAAGGACATTGCTGAACTCAACAGTACCATGAATCAACTAGTTGACACTTGTAAACTACTTCAACAGCAGAATTCACATTCTTCTCAAATTCATGTGGAACATTCACCAATATAACCACATTCTGGGCCATAAAGTACACCTTAAAAAATTTAAAAGAATAGAAATCATACAGTGTCCGCTCTCAGAACACAATGGATTAAACTAGAAGTAAATAACAGAAATATAACTGGAAAATCACCAAATACATGGAGATTAAACAACACAGTTCTAAATACACATGAGTCAAGGAAGAAATCTAAAGAAAAAAAATTTAAATAATTGGAACTAAATAAAAATGAAAACAGAACTCATCAAAATGTGTGGAATGCAGTGAAAGTCGTGCTTAAAAGGAAATTTATAGCATTGAATGCATAGAACAGAAAAGAAAAAATATGTAGAAAGCAATTTTTATTTTATTCATTTTTTTCTTCTTTTATTGAGATATATTGACATACAACAATGTATAAATTTAAGGTATACAGCATAATGATTTGATTTTTATACATCATGAAGTGATTATTCCAAGTTTAGTGAACAACTATCATATAAGTACAAAATTAAAGAACTAGAAAAAAAGAAAGCTCTAAAATCAATAACTTATCAGTTTAGGAAATAGAAAAAGAAGAGCAAATGAAATCTAAAGTAAAGAGAAGAAAAGAAATAATGAACAGAACAGAAGTCAATGAAATAAAAAAAACAAGTCCCAGTAGAGAAAATCAATGAAACCAAAAGCTGGTTCTTTGGAAAGATCAATAAAATCAATAAACCTCTAGCCAGGCTAAGGGAAAAAAAGAGAGAGAGAAGATACGAATTACTAATATCAGGAATGAAAAAGGGGACATTACTACAGATCCCAAGGACATTAAAAGAACATTATGAACAACTATGTACCAATTCCTTGAAAGACACAGCCTTCCAAATCTCACACAAGAAGAAATAAACAATCTGATTAGGCCTATATCTATTAAAGAAATTGAATAAATAATAACATTCCAAAAAAACCACCAGACTTAACTGGTGTATTCTAACAAACATTTAAAGAAGAAATTGTACCAATTCTCTACAATCCTTTTCAGAAGACAGAAGCAAAGAGAATACTTCCTAACTCATTCTATGAGGCCAGCATTACCCCAATACTAAAACCAGACTAAGACATTACAAGAAAGGAAAACTAAACACTAATATCTTTTATGAACATAGATGCAATATTTCTCAACAAAATAATAGCATATCAAAAAAATAATAGCATATCAAATACAACAGTGTATTTTAAAAATATACACGTGACCAAATGGGATTTATACCATACACGTAAGGTTGTTTCAACATGCAAAAATAAATTCATGAAACCGTCACATCAGCTGGCTATAGAATAAAAATTCTATGATTATATCATTTTGGACCTACACCAGGATTCTAAACTTAACTTAGAACTTTTCTTTGGACTCAGGATCTTGGATATGGATTTAGACCTGACCTGGACATTGGAACTAGAATTTGAAAAAGGACCTACTCTTAGATCCAGATCTTGAACCTCAAAATTTGAGGTTCAGCTAACCCTAGCTCTATCCCTTGTCCTAGCCCTAGCAATAACCCTAATATTAACCTTAAGTCTAACATTGGCATTAATCCTAGCCTTAGCTTTAGCCTCAGATCTAATCTTAACCAAAATCATAGCTTTAACTTCAACCACAAACCTAACTCTAAGCCTAAGGCTAGCCCTAAGCCTAATTGTAAATATGTCACAATAACATGGTTAGAGCTCAATGTGTGAGAAGGGACACATTTTCCTTAAAAAAGCATTCCAAATAATGGGTGGATATTCCTTCCTCTAGGAGACGGAATTTAATTCCCTTCCCCTTATGTGTAGGCTAGACTTAGTAACTCACTTCCAGAGAGTATGGAAAGAGGAAAATAGCAACTTTACAGTGGAGAAACTTGGTTGGAGAAAGCTTAACAAAATGATCAAGGTTAACATCACCAGCAATGTCATGTTGTTATCATGTATTTCTCATATATGATTAAAAGGGGACTATAATTCTGTGGAATTCTTCCCCAAAGCCCATAACTTAAGTATAATTATAATAAAGTACCATACAAATCCAAATTTAGGGACATTCTACAAAATACTTCATTAGTACTCTTTAAAGTGGAGTCTAAAGATCATGAGAAAAAAAGGAGAGACTGGAAAACTGTTACAGATCAGAGGAGATTAAAGAAATATGATGACTAAATACAACGTGGTGTACTGGATAGGATCCTGGAACAGAAAAAGGACATTAGTGGGAAAAGTGTGAAATCTGAATAAAATCTATACTTTACTTAACAATATTGCAACAATGTTAATTTCATAGTTTTGAAAAATGTACCATAGTTATGAAAGATGTTAACACTAGGGGTAACTGGGTAAAGGGAATACTCTGTACTATCTGTGCAACTTTTCTATGAATCTAAAATTATTCCCAAGAAATGTTAAGGGAATTATTAAGCTTTTATACCTATTAATTAATAACTGTATTAGAGAGTAACTACAGAGATCAAATTGGTGAATAATAGCTCTTCCTTATAGATAAAATCTAAAACTAGAAACAATGATTGAATTTCTTCCTAGCACCCTCCCTTTAAACCTGGTTGTGAAGATTACTACCAGTGTATGTAAGATACTTTCAGAAATTAAAAACTGAAAAGTAAAACTAACAAAAAACATTTGTTATTATAAATAACAATGGAATTTAGTATGCTATTATACCTTCAGACCTACTGTAGGACATGCTGTTCTTTGCTGTTCCACTTGTGGCAGGATTCATAGTTTTTCTAACAGGTACAGATCCCTATGCCTGATACTGTGAGGAAATGTTATACTTGAGCTCCACTCTTATCTCTCTCAGGCATTTTTTGGTATTGTCTAAAATGTAAATACATACTGTCAACCTCCAGCATGATACCAGGCACATAATAGAAACCCAATAAACGTTTCACTGTGAGTGGAGTATAAGTTGATATAATATTTTTGAAGGTTGATTAGGCAGATTAGATTGATTGAAAATCAATATTTTAAGTTTGCATCTCTTTCTTTCCAGAAATTCTAGTTCTAGAAATTTATATATAGCTATACACATGTATAAAGAGGTTCACACTGCAGCCTATCTGTAACAGAGGACAGAAACAAAAAACAAACAAAATACCCCCAAACTGAAAACTAAAAGTCCATCAATATTGGACTGGCCATGTAAATTATGTAATGTGACGCAGCTATTAAAGAGAATGGAATGTATCTACGCAAAAATTGACTGGGAAGATCACTATCCAAGACAGATTGTAGACTATGTATACTATGCTGCTCTTGTATAAAATACAGGATCTCCACTACGTAGAAATACTTACATACAAGATACAACAAGTGTGAATGTAAGCACTTGGGAAATATCTGAAAGAACCACACAAGATACTGGGAGAGTGGGACAACTTTCCATGTCCCATATGATTGGAATTCTGAAGGGTAAACACACGAACTAATGGACCTCTGCTACCATCTTCCGGCAAGGGAGGGAATTGCAGGCGTCAGACTCCTCTTTACTAAGGAAGCGTCTCAGTCGGCCGGCGTAATGACGTCATCTCGACGCGCGATGACGCATGCGCAGTAGAAGGAGGTCCGCGAGCTGCGTGGGTTTGTGCCTAGGCGCTTGTGGTTCGGGGCCCTGGCACCGGGGGCGCCGGGTTGGCGACTTTTGCACTCTTGGCATTGGGTGGGCGGCATCTTGGGGGTCGCATGAGCCAGTGGCATCATGCCCGTGGGCGCTGGGGTCAGCGTCGCGGCTTTTCCGGACGGACGTTCGTCGGCCAGGAGGAAGGGCGGAAAGCACATCTCGGAAAGGTAATACGGCTTGGCCCCTGGGCCTGGGCTTCGTATCTTGTGCTGTCTCCTGTGACTGTTGCCTCCGCGCGCTGGCCCGTCCGCGCTGTGCTAGGGGGTATTGGTCGTCTCGCGACTCAGTTCACAGTAGCTGAAAGGGACAGTGTGTGATGTTCCGATTTCTCCCCATCGTTTTAAAAGGGAGGCTCTGGCCATTGCTCCTCGGGTAAAATGCAGAGAGACTGCTTTTTAAGATGGGACTGTCAGTGTTGGGGACCCTCCTTAATTACCAGAATGGAATCCCCTTCAGTTCCTCAAGCTGTGTTGTTTAGGCACAGGAAATGTGAGTAATTGTTACTAGAACTAAGTTTGAGTGAAAAACCGCACCGGTACCGCCGAATTTTCGAACTAATCTTACAAAAGTCAGTTCAGATATTATTTTTCACTGTGTTTCCTAGCATTAAGGAATTTTATTATCAGGTTTTGTATAAGGACTAAAAGTAAATTGTGAAGTGGAAGAATTGAGTTTAAACTATTTCAGTCAACACGCATGTATTAATGATACCTTAGTAGTCAACAGCGGGCTAGGTTTTATCAGGGATACAGAAGTTCTGGCCATCTCTGGTTTTAGATATCCCTTATTTGTTGAGACCTTTGCATTGTTTTGTTGCCTTTTATCTGTTTTCAAGATGGGAAAACAGGAACAAGGGAAGTATAGGTTATTACTAGGTGGGGTTGAATAAGTGGAGCGGCAAAATGCAAAGCAGAAAGAAGAGGGACCTACCCTAGAGGGATATGATTTCCATTTTCAAGGCGCATTCATCCTATGCAGGGAGACAGCCTAACATAAAATTTGCCTAACAAAAAATATATTAACAGGTGGAAAGACTATCTCCCAGTTGAACAGCGGATGCCTGGGACTCATTTCATTGCTTTCAAAGTTCCTTAAAAAAAGGTAAGCAAAAGTTAATACCGTATTCTTTCAGAAATCTGAATTCTCCATATAGAGCCCTGGCTCTCAACCCCATCGTACTCCATTTTCCCTTTTTATAGCAAATACTTTTTAATACCTCTTTTACTATCCAGAAATGGAATTAATAGATAAATACAACCTACTTTTGTACTTAATAAAATTTAAAAAATACAACAATGGAATGCGCTAACTATAAATAAAGAATAAAGTAATTTATAAGAAAGTAATATGTATCTCAGTATGTAAATGTTTGGGGATGACTATACTAGAAATAAATAGTCAGTTACTTGTACCATGAATGCAATAAACTATGGACTTTGATTGATAATGATGTGTCAGTGTTGGTTCATGAATTCTAACAAATGAAGCACACTGGTATGGCATGTTGATAATGGGGAAGGCAGTGTGGGATGAAGGAGAGAGAGTATAACTGGGAACTGTGTACATATTGCTCGGTTTTGCTGTGAAACTCAAACTGCTCTAAAACTAGTCTACTAATTTAAAAAGAAAATTGTGTTGCTGGCACTTGAATAACCAAACAGATCAATCGAACAGAGTACATAAATAAACCAAATACATAAAAGAATATTTAGCCATCCTTCACATAGGTAGATATTAAAGAAGTATTTATTTATGTATCTATTTACAGGCACTCTGCTTGGAGCTGGCAATACAGTGGTGGGCAAAATTGATGTGGTCCCTGCCTTCTGGGAGTTTACAGTCAGGTTAGGAGACCAACATGAAATAAACAAACATAGAAATAACTATATAGAAGTGAGCTTATTTTCTTCCATCTAATCTCTCTGGAAGAAAGGATTGTAATATCGCTTGTAAACTCCAGAGGAGGAAACTTTACTTTGAATCTCATATGTTAGCATCACAGGTTTTGAATAAATGGATAATGTAGTAAAGGATTTTAAACATATGTTCTTCCTTATTTTATTCTTTCTGACAGAGTTTTGAAAAGAATCTTGCTCCAGAAGAACGTTTCTCCCCCTTGGATCTCTTAACAAAATCCAAGGACAGAATGAAGAACTTGGGCTGATTATTGACTTAACATATACTCGCCGCTGTTATAAGCCAGAGGTAAATGGAAGCCGTAATTGAAAATGACCTTTCTGATACTGTAATAATTCATAGTAGTTCAGTAGTTATCATCTTATGCTAAGGTGAATCCTGGCCTTCTCTCATGGGTTCAAAAAGGGAAGCTAGTGGTTTCCTTAAATACACATTTGTAATTGCTGTTTCAAAATGAGATTAAAGATATGAATTGAACTATAGTATTTGGCAGTTGGCTCTAGATATGCTGAAGAAATTCTATAAGCTTCCATGTTCTATATTTTGAAAATGAAGTAAACTTTTAGTAGTTACAGTAGTATCCTAAAAAGAAAGAAAGATATGTCCATTATGTCTTTAGCACTTATTTTAAGCAGTTGCCTGAGCATGTTTAAGCATCACTGTAAAAGACAATTGTTCTCTAAGTTTTATGCTTCCTTTTCCTAATGCCTTCTGATATAGTACAGAAACCCATCTATTCTCTTGGCCCATGTAGGACATTCCAGTGCAAAAGAATTATCCTTCTTCTGACCTGTTCCATGGCCTTGGGAGACAGGAACACCTAATGTCTTTTAATATTTGTAGAGCAGTTTGTCATTTAGAAAGTTCTTTCATATCCATTGACTTAGTTAATCTTCACAGCAATCCTTTGCTCTTGAAGTGGAAGTAGTACTGATATCTCCTACTGAGTGCTTACCCTGCACTAAGCTCAGAGGATAGACAACTACAATTACTAATTTTACAGACGATGAAACTGACTCTCGGAAAAGGAAGAATTGAAATTTCAGCTCTGTTATTCCTTTTTTTTTTATTGTGGTAAAATATAGATAAATCATATTTATTTAACCGTTTATAAATATGCAGTTCAGTGGCATTAAGTACAGTCACAGTGTTGTGTAACCATCACCGCTGTCTATAACCAAAACTTTTTCATCATCCTCAACAAAAACTCTGTAACCATCAAACAGTAACAACCCCATTTTCCCTCCCACCAACCCTTGGTAACCTCTATTCTATTTTCTGTCTCTGTGAATTGGCCTATTCTAGGTACCTCGTGTAAGTGGAATCTGCAGTATTTGTCCTTCTGTGTCTGGCTTATTGCACTAAACGTCGTGTTTTCAAGGTTCATCCATGTTATAGCACGTAACGAAATGCCATTTCTTTTTTGGCTTAGAAAATCCCATTGTGTGTATATAGACCATAGTTTGTTATTCAACGGTTGATTGACACTTGGTTGTTTTCCACCTTGTAGGTATTGTGAATCATGCTGCTATGATCATTGGTGTACAAATACTTGTTCAAATCCCTGCTTTCAGTTCTGTTAGATGTGCAGCGTAGGTAGTAGCAGAGTTGTTGGATCATACGGTAGCTCTACATTTAACCTTTGAGAAAGTGCCAAACTCTTTTCTACAGTGTCGTCTTGTTTTTAAACAATTATCACAGATTTTAAGCATATACAAAAGTATAAAAATACTGTGAGTGTTCCTTGTATACCCATGAACTCATCCAGCTTTCTTATTTACCAACTGATGGCTGTCATGTTTTATCTATACCCCCACCTGTTTCACCCCATTCCATATTATCTTGAAGCAGCTCCGAGACAACATGTAATTACACCTGTACGTTTTTGGTACGTGAATTTAAAATATAGGACTTTTATTCCTTAATATCATTTTTTAATATTAAATACCCAGGGAGTGCTCAAATTTGCAGTTGTCTCCAAAACGTCATAAAAAATTGTTTATAAGAATTTTGAATTAGATCCAAATAAGGTCCACACTTTGTCGTGGATTGTTAGGTCTCTGAAGTCTTGTTTAATCTATAGGTTCTCCCTCCATGTCTCTCTCACGTTTTTTTTCCTCCTTGAATTTTGTTTTTAAAGAAACCAGGTAATTTGTCCCATCTAGATGTCGATGATTACATTCCATGTGTTGGTAACATATTCTTCAATCCTTTTATTTCCTGTAAATTGGTAGTTGATCTGAATGAAGCTTGCATGTTTTTTTTGGCAAGACAGTTTCATGGGTGATGATGTGTTCTTCCATGGAGACATGTATAATTGTCTCTTTCTGTGGTATTAGCAGTCACTGATGATTCATACCTACATCCATTAATTCAGTTGAGGCTTCAAAGAATGGTGAATTCTGTTGTTCTTTTTTTCACTTATTAGCTGGGTATATTTGTATGAGGAGAAGAGTCCCCTCATCAACTGTTTGGTTGCTCAGTTGTAGAGGCATGATTCTCTTCTTTTATTTAACAGGTTTCAAAATAATGAGTTGATTCACAAATATCCTCCAGTGGTGACCAGTTTTGTAAAATTTTATTTACTCCTATCACCGTGGACCCCGTTACAGTTATTATTCTAACTGAGGCCCTATCTTTGGCCAGTTGGAGCTTCTCAGTGACTCCTGAGTCCTTTTAACATGACATCAGTTGTTTCTAGACTTTTTCAGTGGTCAGAGCTAGGAAATATGTATGTTTGTTTATATTTTTAAAATATGTCATATGTTCCTACTGCTACTTTCCATTTAAATCCAGAACTAGAGAATTTTCACTTATCCTTTTCTGTCTTTTATTGATAGTCTACTTTCTCCCACCCCAGGAATACCAGTTCTCAACAATGCCTGAAATTGCCTCTATTTCCTAATTCGAATCCAAGTTCTTCTGACTCTATTCAACTACTCTCCTTAAATCACAGCTGCTTTATGGCCCTTGAAATGTAAGATAGAACATAAATGTAGGTAGAACTGTTTATATCATTTTGAGTTACACGTGCATTCATTCACATAGATTTGCTTTTCCTTTTGCATGCCTGGTAACTGTCCGTTCTGCAGTTTTAATGAAAATCAAGTGATAATTACTGGTTAAAGCAGCTTTGGAAAAAATGGCTCTCATCAGAATGACTGACATACTAAGTTTAATGTACTCTCCTGGTTTATATCCTGCCTTCTCTAATTAATTTTTTATTCTTTCCCTACAAAGGAAATAATACATATTTTCATGGTTTTGCCTTATAGGACTTACCAGAAACTATTCCTTATTTAAAAATTTGTACAATTGGGCATCAGGTGCCAGATGACGACACTAGTTTTAAATTCCAATGTGCTGTTAATGGGTTTCTGAAAGAACATAAAGATAACGGTGAGTTACTTTTGTTTTTGTTTTTCTTTTACCTGAACTTTGGTATGCATTTTGAGTGGGGTTGGGGATTTTTAACATTTTTAATAGTTCTGGCATTAGTGTCAAGTTGTCTTTGGTAACATTAAGGTGGAAATGTCAGGTGGTGCTAATAGAGTACGGTGTTTTTCCTGTTTATGGTCACAAACAATTTAGTTTAGTTTGGAAAGTGATTTTTGTGAGAAATATGAACTGAGCTTGCTTACTTATCTCTTTTTTAAAAATTTGAATGGAAAATACATAAAAACATAAAAATATTCTTTTGTCCTATTTATTGGTTGAGAGGTGGAAGAAAAGGTTAAGACTCTCAGGTTCTTAGCATATATAAAAGAGAAAACAAAAAGCAAAGGTTTGGAGTGAGACAGATCCCTAGAAGCAAAACAAAACAGAGTGGACCAGAAGAGTGGCTTCCTCATCATATATGTGTTTAAGATATTTTTGCTGCTTTTACACTTTGGGTGCAAGTGAGGAAGAACACTACCACCTCTTACTCTTATCTTCAGACAGGAAGAACTTAAAAGGCTGGTGTTTTCTTGTTTCCGCTTTAAGATCTACTCTGTTGATAGTGGGTCTTAATAGCATGTGAATTTTAAGGATCCACTTGCCTTTTTCTAGCATCTAACTATCAGAAGGAACATGGTGTTTGCCATGTTTTAAGACTGAGGAATCTTTTGTCTTTGGAACGCCACTGACGCCCATGTGAAAGTGTTCATTTTGTCCTCTTTCTAAATTTAGCCTGAGGAGTGTGCACTTTATTAAATAAATGTAACAGACAGTAAATATTCCGTGTATATAAAATGATGCACGTATATACATAAAACAGGGAGTAGGGGAGTAGGAATAGAGATGGAGGTGGGAAGATAGGGGATAGGAGGCGAGAGAGAGAGGGAGAGACTGGAATTTCAAGATGAATTTTCATTCTATAACCTGGTTGCTTAACGCAAGTACTAGCTCTTAAATATCTTAAGCCCTATTCACAGATCTTCCGTGTACTTTAGCTTTAAAACTTGAGAGGCTTGGCCTGTCCTGTGATAACCAGGGTGTCTAGAAAGGAGGCAAATTATCTGATTTGTTTAAACTGTAGTCACAGAAATGTTACCTCTTAAGATGTTAGGGCGCAGCTGCCGGCCTACTCACTTCCTCCAGGCTCCTTTGTGTGTGTTCTGTCTGTTCCGCGTGGGCTAGAAGATCCTTACAAGTGCATGAGAACACGTTTGTAAACCTTGACTGTTCACATGTTATACCAAGTGTAGTCCATTGCATATGCTGACTCCTCTGTGGGTCTTCTGCATGCAGTGGGCTAATTTCACCATGCTGTCTGCCATTGCTGTCTCAGGACCTTAGTTATGATCCATTGGTGACCTCCTCTGCTATAAGGCCCTCCCACAGATGCCAGGCTCACTGATAATGAGGAGGAGACTATACTATGCACTCCCTAGAATTGGTAGAGACTCAGAAAATAAATTGTTTCAGTAAATACCGAGAGCCTTATAGGTTTGTTGTTAGGGCACGGGGATACAGAGGTGAGTAGAAGTCTTTGTTCAGTAGCAACTTACAGTTATCTAGGAAGAGAAACATGTAGTGAGTATAAGTGGGTTAATTATGATAAAAGAATCAAGTGCAGCAGGAATATAGAGGAGAAATTGAGGAAGGCCTGACTGAGGAGACAGCGTTTGAGCTGGGCTTGGGGGAAGAGGATTTTGCCGGAATGAGGAAAGGACAGCCCAGGTATTGGGGACAGGTACAAAAGGCACAGGGCTTGAACTTGTGCTCTGGAGGGGCAGCCTATGGTGTGACTAGAGGGTAGTGTGAAAGGGCAAAGAATTCATACATTCATTTTCAGCAAATATTTGTATAACACCTTCTAAGTTGAAGGCACTGTTCTAGGAAGTAGGAAGAGAACAAAGTTCTTGCCCTTACGTACTTTCCATTCTAGTGGGGGAGAGAGATGAATAAATAAGTCAATATATGGAGTGTCAAGTGGTGGTAAATGCTTTGGAGAATAACAAAAGAAGATGAAGAGGTGAGGGATTGTGGTAGGTGATCAGGGAAGTCCCCTCTATTAAGATGTCGATTGAGCAGAGCCTTGAAGTGAGAAACAAGCCATTGGATATCTGGGAGAGTGGAGATGGGGTGGGAGGGTGTGTTCTGGGAGAGTGGAGATGGGGTGGGAGGGTGTGTTCTGAAGCAGAAGGAATAGTAGGTGCAAAGTCCCTGAGGCACGACTGTGCTTGGCATGTTTGAGGAATAGTAAGGAAGCCAGTGTGGCTGGACAGGGGAAAGTGAGTGAGGACAGGGCAGTAGAGAATGAGATCAGGGGAGGCTGGCAGGGCAAAGGAGGGAGGTGGATGATGTAGGTCCTTGTAAGTCATAGTTTGAACTTATAATTCAGTTGGAGAGACAGACTGATATTTGTTTATAAAGAGTTCTCAATGCTGTGCTAACAACCTGGGCTCTATTCTGTGCTTAGTGAAGATGTTCAAGCAACAGAGCAATCCAGCCTAGTTTATATTTTAAAAAGATAACATCTTCCATGTGGAGGATCAGTTGAAATAGAAGAGACTGTTAGAATTATAGGGCGGTAGTAATCCAGGCAGGAGATGATGAATGCCAGACACCACCTAGTCACAGACATACCTTTTGCAGAGATCAGCTACATGTTGATGTTTTATATTTACTTTCTCATATAATTTTTTTTAAGTGCTGGACCACGAATTACTGTGGCATAGTTGGAAAAATCTGAGACTCGATTCTAGTCTTTTTTCTGTTTGCCTGCTGTGCAGCTTGGGCTTACGTCTCAAGCCTTACTTTTTCATTGTGAAATAAAAACCGTACTAGTTAACCCGGGAAGTCCACAAGCACATAGACCCATAGTATGTGAGGAGCAGTGAATGAGAGAAGGAATGGAAGTGCTTTGGGACCCCAAGAGCACTTCAGAAACCATTTGTTCTTTTTAATATTGAGCATTAAAATTGAAGGCATTCCATTTGTTTCACTCAAAAACAAATTCTATTCGTCTGGTAGCCTGTTTTTGTTTTTGTGTTTCCACTCCCTTTTTCTATAGTCAGGTCAGTTCCTGATGGGCATTCTCCAGTCCACGCTATTGCATCTGATTGGAGGCTATGCAAAATTTCCCAGAGACAATGAATTTTGACTTTATAGTAGTTAATTCTTGATAGTACGTTCCTGCAAAAACACTCTTTCTTCAGAGTTTTTCCTTTTCAGGTTAGTGGTCGTGTTTTGGTAACTAATAAACGCTACTCTTCAGAAAATTGTATAACTTGTTTTTAGTGTATCTGCTTCGCTTACTTAATTCCATATTCCCTGTTTTATAGACAGACTTATTGGTGTCCACTGTACCCATGGTTTAAACAGGACTGGCTACCACATCTGCAGGTGAGTTGCCAACCCCAAGAGGCAGACCATGTTTAAATTGTTCTGTTTACAGTAGTAATGTAAGCTGAATGCAACAGATGCAGTCAGAGAAATGTATGAAGTGGAAGGGAAGGCAATTTTGCCCCCTACTCAGAGGTGACCACCAGTAATAATTTAGCACATATTTTTTGAGACGTAAAAAAGTGCAGATATAAGCATATACAATGGTCCCTTGGTATCTGCAGGGGATTGGTTTTAGGACTCCCCATGGATACCAAAATCCTCGGATGCTCAAGTCCCGTATGTAAAATGGTGTAGTATTGTCGGCCTTCCATGTCTGCAGGATATGGAACCGTTTGATATACAGCACTGACTGTATATGTGATTTAATGGTATAGTATTTAGACATTCTGGTTTATAATTTAATATATGGTGGACATCTTCCTATGAAAATATTTGGAGACCTCAATCTTATTTATTTATTTATTTATTCCAAATTTGCTTTATGTAGTTGGATATAAATTAATGAACCAAAACTTAAGCAAGATACATGTAAGGATTTAATAGAACCTGATACTGTAATTCTTTCAGTTTTTCTCAAACTCATCATGGGGCTTGTAAGAAAATTAACCAACATGGATACTACTACAGTTGAATGTCAAATCCTTAAGTGCTTATGACATACTAAATTCTTCTATATAATGCACTTATGAAGAACCCTTCAAGAGACTTGTGTTTTGTATGTAGAAAAGTGTTGATTTCTTTGAGGAGTGAAGCATTCAGCTTTCGTGGATAAATCCTTGTTAGGCTGAGGCAATCATTATCATATCCCTCTTTGCCATGAATTGTCTTATGAATGGTCATATCAGTCTGTTTTGGCAAATGAGTAATTAGGGGAAGGCTGTTATTGTGCTTATGAGAATGATATTTTTCTCTGAAAAAAGATAAATATGCATTAGGAAAATGACCATTGGGACTCTTTTTCTGCTTCCTCCTTGTTTTGTTAGAATATGATACTTGGTTTTATAGCAGCTATCTTGTGACCCTGAGATGACTGTATGCCAATAACGACAAATGGTAGATTAGAAAGAACCAGCAAAGACAGAAAACAGCAACATCAGTAGTAACAACAATCACAGCAAAAGAACAATGGGACCTTAACTTGTGGAGTTCCTATAAAGTAAAAAATAAATGCTCTATGTTTATTCTAAAAAAAAAAAAAGAACTATGCAAAAAAGCTTAAAACTACCTTTTTTGTGCCAGTGTTATAAAATGTAGCTTTAAATAAAACCTTGACCCAAATGCCAGCAACTTCAGAAAAGAATTTGGGTATGGGGAAGAAGAAAGATATCACTTAGGAAAAACAACCACTATCTTTCTCCTAATCTTCTACACACAATTGAAACATATATAGCTGATGTAACACTTTACACAAATCCTATGTACTGGAGCAATAACAAGATCTAAATACAATTATATTTTTAAACACTGGGCGAAGGCTTTACATAAAAATAGCATCCTACTTTCCCCCCTGAATTTCTAAAATATCACGTACTTTTCCCCAACATCTGAAGCCGTTCAGGAATTTTTAGGAAACTTTCTGCATGATCTTAATTCCTAATCCCCCGCTCTTTGGGCTCAACGACAAAAGATCAAAACCACCAAAAATGATGGTTCTCTTGAAGTCAGGTGAGAGACACTGGCTCAGTTAGTCTCGTAGGACAAAAGCAGTGCTGCATCAACTGTCTCCATGCAGGAGGGGCACGTGAAGGATCTCATCAGCCAGTCATCTGTACAGCCCAGGTGATCTGCATACACAGCAGAAATCAAATTGGGTTCTCATAAACAAAGTCCATCATACAGATCACACACTCCCGGATCTTTTTTTATAATATTTGTTTTATTTTATTGATTGATTTTATGTTTTGGTTGCGCTGGGTCTTAGTTGCAGCCGGTGGGCTCCTTAGTTATGGCATGCAAACTCTTAGTTGCGGCATGCGTGTGGGATCTAGTTCCATGACCAGGGAACGAACCCAGGCCCCCTGCATTGGGAGTGCGGAGTCTTTAGCCAGTGCACCACCAGGGAAGCCCCCTGGATTCTTTTTTCTGATCTGTTTCTTCCAGGGTCATAAGCTCCTTTAGGCTGATGCTGTATGAGGCCTATTCTTTTGAGCTATCCTATTTTGTTCCTCTCAGCTGAGTTGCTAGGCGAGTCTGGCTAGGTGTTGGATGATAGACCAAAACTGGAACTTGATCCAGATATGGCAGCAGCGGCTCCTGATCCAGCTCCGTCCCCTTGCCAAAGCTAGCCCAGTCGGACTGAGACTTGTGAGGCAAGGAGATGTCATCCGAAGTGGGGGACTTAAGGCACTTCCCCATCTGTCAGACAGAGAAAGAAAAATCCTGTATGATCTCACTTTATATGGAATTTTTTAAAAAGCTCATAGAGGCAGGGGGTGGAGGGTGGGTGAAATGGGTAAAGGTGGTCAATATGTACAAACTGCCAGTGATAAATAAGTCCTGGGGATGTGACTATAGTTAATAATACTGTATTGCATATTTAAAATTTGCTAAGAGAGTAGATCTTAAAAGTCCTCATCACAAGAAAAAAAGATTTCTACCATGTATGGTAATGGATGTTAACTAGACGTACTGTGGTGATCATTTTTTAAATTGAAGTATAGTTGATTTACAGTATTATATTGTAATAACAATATATTAGAACCCAGTGATTCAATATTTTTATAGATTATACTCCATTTAAAGTTATTATAAAACATTGGCTATCCTTATAGCTTATTTATTTTATGCATAGTAATTTGTGCCTCTTCATCCCCTCCCCTACCCCTATCTTGCCCCTCCCCCCTTTCCCTCTACCCACTGGTAACCACTGCTTTGATGTCTACATCTGTGCATTCATTTCCTTTCTGTTACATTTATTGTTTATTTTTTAGATTCCACATGCGAGTGATAACATACCGTATTTGTCTTTCTCTGTTTGACTTATTTCACTAAGCATAATAGTGTTGCAGCAAAAATAGAAATGAAGTTTTTCCTCTCCTGAAAATAAGGAAAGTAAAGGGGACAGTGAACAGGCTAGAGAAGACACATAAACTGGCCTGAAAGGGTTAATCGATCCTAGTTTTATTTAAACTGTTACTGATCTGTACTGTCTGTAACTAGATGTAAGTTTCACAAAGCTAAATTACATCCTGTTCCTATCACTCCCTAGCTGTCAGTGTAAATTACATCCTGCATCTGGTGCTTAAGCTCCCTGCACTGTCTTGTAGCAAATCACCCTGTGTAGCAGTTTGCATTTCAGGAAGCAGATGGCAGGCAGATAAGGCAGAGGCAAATGAACCCAATTACCGGTCCGCCGGACCCAGTTACCGGACTGCCTGACGCCAGCGATGCCGGTTTTGAAATAATGCAAGAAGAAGAATGCAAGTCCTTTACCACTTTGATCCTTATTACCAGTCCCTGGACTGCGATGGCCGCCCGAGGGGCCAGGAGGCCAGCCGGGTCTTCCAGGCGTGTGTGGGCATCCTGTGTGCAGCCAGTGTCCCCGAGGCCACGCTCGGCCCATCATCACTGAGTGAAGCTGTGCCGCGAGAGCGCAGCCGACTTTTTTTCTGGCGCTGTGAGGACCTGTGCGCATTGCAGGATTCGGTGCCTCTGCCCGCCGTGGGCGCCTCCCTGTGGGAGGGCCTGCTGGACTTCAACACCCACTGCCTGCGCAGGGTGGACTGGGCACCACCCCTGAGCACCCTCTGCCCCTTATCTGTATCCAGAGCTCCTTCCAGCCATGGCTTGGCGAGACGGGTTTGTACTTTCCACTTCCAGGGGCTCTCGTGTCGGTGCTGCGAAGCAGAGTTTTAGATGGTACAAAGTGGAGGGTGGGCACTAGAACGGATGCCCAGTGCCCAGGTGTGCGTGCACTAGACGGGGCGTGCGGCCTAGGACTCCTGCCAGCTCGGTGACCCCGGCCGAGTGCCTTAAGGCTTCTAGGTCTCAGTGTTCTCATCTGTAGCATGGGCTTAACAGGACCCAGCCTCCGTGGCGGTTACAAGGATGCACTGTGTTAATGCTTATAGACTCTACAATGTAGAACACTTAGCACAGTTTGGAGCATCGTTCATTGTTCCACAGATGTTACCTGGTCTGTTGAATGACTTTGCCTGGTACACGCCAAAGCAATTAGGAAATTGATATATCCCAGCTTCATTTCCTTTTCATTAAAACAGGGCTCAGGAAAAAATTTTGTTTTTCAATAGTCCTATCATATAGTGGAAAGAGCACTGTTGTGAAGGCAGCTTAGGGTTTGAATTCCAGAGTTTATGCTCTCTGTGGCCTGGGCAGGTTTCTTTTGCACTACAATCCCCACACTTGTAAAATGACATTAAAAACCACCTTTTCTGTGGGTTCTTAGAATTAATTAAGCAGGTTATGTGTGTAGAGTATCCTGGCACTTGAATGAGTTGTCAGAACCAAGCGCTGCTGGAGAGGATGCTTCTGCCCTAGGTAATGTCCCCTTCTACTGGGCGGCAAGTAAACACAAGCACAGTAGTCAGTGCTAGGGAAGAAGTGAGTTCCGGTGTTACAGAGAACAGAATCTTGTTTTTTTTTAATTTAATTTTTATTTTATATTGGAGCACAGTTGATTTACAATATTGTGTTAGTTTCAGGTGTACAGCAAAGTGATTCCATTATACATATATCCATTCTTTTTCAGATTCTTTTCCCATACAGGTTGTTACAGGATATGGAGTAGAGTTTCTTGTGCTATGCAGTAGGTCCTTGTTGATTACCTATTTTATATATAGTCGTGTGTATATGTTAATCCCAAATTTCTAATTTATCCCTCCCCCCATGTTTCCCCTTTGCAGAGCACAGAATCTTGGAAGGGAAAGTTCAGGGTAGGCTTCTTGGAGGAGGTGCCATCCTTTCTAAGGATATGTAGAAGCTCCTGGGGTGGCAGGAGGGAGCAGTGTGTGTCAAAGTTGGAGAAATATAAGAAAATATGGCAAAACTAAGATACAGGACTGGAACTCAGGGTTTGGGAAAGAAATGATAGTTGATACTGGAAACCTAGTGGGGCCCAACAGAAAGGGGCCTTGTTTGTCCTGTCAGAAGTTTAGATGTTTATCCTGAAGGCTGTGGGAAACCCTAAAGAACAGTGAGATGGACTTCTGGTTTAGAGACTCACTCAGACCTCCATGTGGAAGGCACTTGATTGGGTGCAGGGTGAATTGTAATCTAAGGGTCCCACTTAAGTTATAAAAGGTTGAATGGATTTTGCAGATCCGAGAGAGAATGGGTGGGGCCTGGTGACCAGTTAGAAAAGGAAGGGCAGCAAGTGTGGGTGACGGTTTACAGCTGCATCTTTTTGTGAGATACAGAGCACAGTAGGAAAGGGATTGGGGGTGGGGAGAGGATCTTACTTCATCTTCAGTGCTTTAGAGGGGCCTGGTAGACAGGTCTGGGCCCAAGGTGCAGATCTGGGCTTTTTGGGAGTACAGGTATTTGAAGGCATGGGAGATACTTAGGTTACCCACAAGAAGATCCAAAGAATCTTAGGTCTGAGGGCTTTTAAAGTGAGTATATTGAGGGTGCTTATAAGCTGAAAGAAAGTAGCCAGCAGAGAAAGGGTATTAAGATCTAGGAGAGGAAATGATTGTTCATTTGTTTTCAAAAAGTTGAATACTTATCGTGAGCCTGGCCCTTTTCTAGGATCTGGGGTTCACACCATGTGTTATCTCTTCTGTAAGAACAGTTCAACTCATCCCCTGGTGAAGAGAAATCAGATTTTTCTTTGCATCCCATTCAGGTGTAGGAACTGTTCTGTACCTCTGAAGGGACTTTACTTAACCAGAGTAATAAGTTAGAAATCAAAAGAAATTAGAGCTGGAAGACCACTGTACTTAATTTTGCCTAATATTTTACATTGATTGTAAGAAAA